CTGAACAACGAGTGACCTGCTGCACAAACAGCAGGTCGAGGGAAATGTCCACACCTTCCCAGAGGCTGGTGGGGCCAGTGGGCTGGCCAGGCTGGGCTTCTCAGGGCTGGGGGCCACGGTGACCCCAGGGGCCTTTCTCGGGGCAGCTGAGCAGCTCCTGGACCCAGGGGGCCACAGCCTGAGCTCTGGCCACTGCTCTCCCCCTGGAGGCCAGGCAGGCTTGGCTCTCTGTCCCCCGGTTGTTTTCTCTCCGGCTGCGTGGCTGTGTTTGGCTTGGGCAGGGGAAGAGGCAGCAGCAGCGGGTTGGGGTTCCCAGGAGTGCCCACAGCACTCACCACCCCCCATGCTGGCAGCAGCTCCCGGCGCGACCAGCGCCCCCGCCTCGCCCCCGCCTCGCCCCCGCCTGGCCCGCCAGCCCGCCCTCCCCCGGGTTCGCCTTCCAGCTTGGTTAGCTGGCCCGTGGACAGGGCTGTCTCCCAGGTGAGCACGCCTTAGAAAAATGACTTCATTATCACCTTCGGCAGCTTGGAGCCAGGGGGCGGATGCGTGTGGCTGAGGAGAGGCAGGCGGTGTGGACGTCCCCCCTGCCGTGCCTCGGGCAGCTGGGCCCCGGGTGGCAGGAGGGCCTGGGGACCCCCGCCGGAGCAGGCCCGCGGAGACAGATCTGTGGGCCCGGGGGCTGGAGGGAAATATTGCATTATGATAACAAATCACTCCGCTGATTGGAACTTAATTACGTCTCTTTTATCTTGGTGACAGTTACGCACCTGGGCTCAAGGCTGGCCGGGGGGCGGCAGGGGTGGTTATCCCCCGGGGATTAATGAAGCCGCGCCGTCCTCCGCGGCCCTCGAGGAAGCCATGGCGGGCCCCTCCTCCTCCTGGGCAGACCAGACAAAGCGGGTTTCTCCTGCCGCAGAACGAGGCACCAGGGTCTTGGCAGGGGCGGGGGGCAGGCAGGGAGGCCGGGGGGCCTGCCCAGTCCTGCCCCGCGCAGCAGGGGTGCTCACAGGCCTCTGTGCACCCCGGCCTGGGGCTCAGCACCGCGGGGTGGGCGGCTCCGGGGGGCGGGCCGCAGGCCGCTGGGCCTCTGGGGGTACTGGCCGGCACCGGAGGAGTTCCGTTCAGAGAGTGAAATCCAACTGTGCGTCACCTTTCTGGGGGTAAACGTATTCTGTGCGGATTTGTCTGGAATGGCTTTGGTTTGAGAAACTCTGTCCCAGGAACTAACAAAATCCCGGTGTTCTGGAGTTTCCACGGCTGTCCTACAGCGGCTTTTCCCAGCCCGGGAGAGTTCAGATCCTGGGATGTGAGTGTTAACCCCGGTGGCCTCACCTGGCTCCTTGATGCGTGGCCTTCCTGGGTCTCGGGCTCCTCACCTGGAGAGTGGGGGGAGGCCCCGGGAGTCCAGGCCGAGGATGAGCTGGAGCTCTCACCCGGCCTGGGACCGCGGCTCTCCAGTGTTGGCTGACAGGCCTCCAGGGACCCTTCCAGGGACCCTTCCAGGACCCATGAGTGGTCCCGGGGCACGAAGGTGGAAAATGGAGGCACGGAGCGGTGACCTTGCCTGCCAAGGCCACGCAGCTGCCAAGCGGCAGAGGCAGGATTCGAGCTGGGAGCCGGGCCCCCGGTCTGCTCTGGGGGAGCAGGTCTCCTGTCTGGGCACCGGCAGGCTGCTATTATTTATATGACGACGGTTCACTCATCAGACAGTAAATATTCTCTACACTTGGCAAGACACGAGGGGCAAATTGAAGGGGTATTTGGGTGGGAGAACATGGTTCCCAGGCCAGGCCCAGGGCAGGGCCAATGGCTCCAGCATGACTCAGACCCTGGGGGCTCTCCTGACCCTCTCTGGGCCCCACTTGGGCCGAGGCTATTCTGGGGCTCTTTTGTTCCCCACCTCCCTGCCCGGTCATAGAAGCTGGGGCTTGGGGGAGCGTCATCACCTGGGGGGCTTGGGGGAGCATCACCTGGGGGGCTTGGGGGAGCGTCATCACCTGGGGGGCTTGGGGGAGCATCACCTGGGGGGCTTGGGGGAGCGTCATCACCTGGGGGGCTTGGGGGAGCATCACCTGGGGGGCTTGGGGGAGCATCACCTGGGGGGCTTGGGGGAGCGTCATCACCTGGGGGGCTTGGGGGAGCATCACCTGGGGGGCTTGGGGGAGCGTCATCACCTGGGGGGCTTGGGGGAGCGTCACCTGGGGGGCTTGGGGGAGCGTCACAACCTGGGGGGCTTGGGGGAGCGTCACCACCTGGGGGGCTTGGGGGAGCGTCACCTGGGGGGCTTGGGGGAGCATCACCTGGGGGGCTTGGGGGAGCGTCACCTGGGGGGCTTGGGGGAGCGTCATCACCTGGGGGGCTGTCTAGGGTCCTAGGCAGGAGCTCCTGACGCCGTCTCTCCCGCTCTCCGGGCAACGGTGTCTGGCTGGGTCCCCTCCTGCCGCTTCCCCCAGAGGCTGCTGAGCGGGCCGCACCAGTCGGCCTTCTGATGGAAACAGCAGGGGCAACCCCGGCAGAGTTAGCGCCGTTTCATAGACTGGCTGATGGCCGCTGAGTCATCGCATGGGGCGATCCATCACCCGGGCCGCTGATGGCAAGAGCCGGGCGCGTTGTTGTTGCTTTGGGGACATGGGGTGGGGGGGCGGGGCAGGCCTCGGTCTCCCCGCTTCCCGGCTGAGGCTGGACCCTCGCTGTGTCACTGGGGGTGGGGAGGGCGGGGGCGGCCGTGGCTCAGAAGTGCTTGTGCACGCGGTGTATGTGGGCGTCTGCGGGTGTGAGCCTGCTCGGGGCTGTACACAACCCTGGGGGTGCCCGTGTACCCCAGCTGAGCAGACACTGGGGCCCGGCTCCCGGCTCGAATCCCATATAAACGCGCCTTTACTGCCGGTGTCTGCCTGCAGATGTTGTTCAGATGTGGCCTTCAGGGGGTCTGAGGCATGACTCGGAGCTGGAGGGGGCCCCAGACCTGCGTGTCATTCACCCCCAGGCGTGTCTCAGCCTCGATCCTCTCGTCTGAAGATGGTGACGATGGTGGAGCTGATGTGGCAGAGTGACATGGTGCCGACATTGCGTGTGTATGTGTGTGTGTGCATGTGTGTGTGTGCGCGCGCAGAGATTTATCGTAGGGGATTGGCTCACGAGATCACGAAGGCAGAGCGGTCCCACTGTCTCCTGTCTGGGCGCCGATGGTGTCAATTCCAATCTGAGCCCGAGGGCCTGAGAGCCCAGAGCTGGTGCTGTGAGCTGCTGTCCGGGGGCCCGAGTAGACCGATGTCCCGCCTCCAGCTCTGGCAGAGAGCATGGGCCCCTGTCTCTGCCTTTCTGTTCTACTCAGGCCCCTGGCGGACTGGTTGACGAGGCCACCTGCACTGGGACGGCAGTCCACTTTACAACGTCCACCAGTGCTCACGCTCATCCCGCCTGGAGACAGCCTCACAGACGCACCCAGAGTCACGTCCAACCAGCTGCCTGGACACCGCGTGGCCCAGACACGTGGACTCGTCATATTAACCCTCACGGGTGGGCTGGTTACGAGCAAACGGTCACTGGTGTCAGCTCTTATGGGCTTGTTGTGTGTGCGTGTGCGGACACGTGCGTGTGCAAAGATTTCCCTGGGTGTGCTCATGTGTGCGCTTGGTGCAGTGTGTCGAGGGGTGGGGTCGGGCCCCAGGGCCTCCAGGGCCGTAGGAAGGAGCAGAGGCCAGCGGGACCCCACATCTGGCACCACCGGGGGACGCGAGTGGGAGGAGCATGGCCCAGCCCCACACCAGGGGCTCGTCCCTCAGACCCTCTGGCTCAGACGACACCCTCGTCCCCCAGCCTGAAAGGGAACAGATGTGTTTGTTTCAGTTCAGTTCAGTCCCTCAGTCATGTCCGACTCTTTGTGACCCCAAGGCTGCAGCATGCCAGGCCTCCCTGTCCATCACCATCTCCCAGAGTTTACTCAAACTCATATCATGTCCATTGAGTCAGTGATGCCATCCAGCCATCTCATCCTCTGTCGTCCCCTTCTCCTCCTGCCCCCAATCCCTCCCAGCATGAGGGTCTTTTCCAATGAGTCAATTCTTCCCATGAGGTGGCCAAAGTATTGGAGTTTCAGCTTCAGCATCAGTCCTTCCAATGAACACCCAGGACTGATCTCCTTTAGGATGGACTGGTTGGATCTCCTTGCAGTCCAAGGGACTCTCAAGAGTCTTCTCCAACACCACAGTTCAAAAGCATCAATTCTTCAGCGCTCAGCTTTCTTCACAGTCCAACTCTCACATCCATACATGACCACTGGAAAAACCATAGCCTTGACTAGACGGACCTTTGTTGGCAAAGTAATGTCTCTGCTTTTTAATATGCTGCCTAGGTTGGTCATAACTTTCCTTCCAAGGAGCAAGCGTCTTTTTATTTCATGGGTGATCACCGTCTGCAGCCCAGAAAAATAAAGTCAGGCACTGTTTCCCCATCTGTTTGCCATGAAGTGATGGGACCGGATGCTATGATCTTAGTTTTCTGAATGTTGAGCTTTAAGCCAACTTTTTCACTCTCCTCTTTTACTTTCTTCAAGAGGCTCTTTAGTTCTTCTTCACTTTCTGTCATTAACGGTGGTGTCATCTGCATACCTGAGGTTATTGATATTTCCCCTGGCAATCTTGATTCCAGCTTGTGCTTCATCCAGCCCAGTGTTTCTCATGATGTACTCTTCATGTAAGTTAAATAAGCAGGGTGACACTATACAGCCTTGACATACTCCTTTCCCAATTTGGAACCAGTCTGTTGTTCCATGTCCAGTTCTAACTGTTGCTTCTTGAGCTGCATACAGGTTTCTCAGGAGGCAGGTCAGGTGGTCTGGTCTTCCCATCTCTTGCAGACTTTTGCAGAGCGTGTTGTGGTCCACACCGTCACAGGCTCTGGCGTAGTTAATAATCAGAAGTAGGCGTAGTGTTTGTTTACACACCTGGAAACTCTGGTGTCCTGAGCCACCTCATGTCCTAATCCCCATTTCTGCGGAGAAATACACAAGTGGCGGAGAGAGTCGGGAGATGAGTTTCCGGCCAGATGAGCAGTCTGCACTTCAGAGCCTCGTGGAGCCCGGGCCGCTGACTTGCGGCAGGTCGCTGTCGGCCGCCCCTTGGCCGACACGCGGGAGGTCGGCGCAGCCTGGAGCCACGCAGGGCTGCCTCTCTGTGGGCTGCCAGGCGGTCTCAGGTGCGGGGTCCGGCACGCCACCTTGACATCCACGTCAGCTTCGCTCCACGCAGAGAGTCCATTCAGAGCTGGTGGAAGAGGTCGGCCCAACACCTTCCCGTGGCCCCTCCGTCCCAGAAAGCTGGCAGGAGAGGCGTGCAGGCGCAGAGAGTGACAAGGCGCTCGTGGATGCTGCCCCGGCCCGGGTCTCACCTCCGGCCGGCTGTTACCTGCCCTACGAAGGTGTGTGCGGCCCCCTGCCCACATCAGGGAGGTGGGGCAGGAGGGCAGGTGTCAGACCCCGCGCAGACCCTCCGGCAGCCTACTCCCGCAGGCTTGGGTCCGCCCAGGCAGGGAGGGGCCTACAGCGGCCTCTCCCCTCACACTGCCCTCGCTGTCTCATCGCCTCTGTCCCCCCAGCCCTGAGCGCACAGGGCCAGAGACAGACGGAGACGTGTGCACGGGAGACGCCTCACAAGCACGCCCAGGCTCCCAGAGGCGGTGAGGGTCTCGGAGGAGTCCGTTTGATCTGCCCGGTTCCTAACAAGCTCAGGGTGACCCCTGGAGCCCCAGCCGCGGCTGGAAGTGGCGCTTCTGGGTGGTTCTTGGGGACGGTTTTCACAGACACCTGACCACTGAGGACCTGACCCCATGAGACGGAGGCCCCACTCCGTCCGGCTCGCTCAGCAACCGCCACCAGGAATGGACGTGTCTGCTCCCCGAGCTCCCCGTACCCGAGTCGGCAGTTTAAGCCGCTGGCCTGAACCTCCCAATGACTCTCGTGAGGAAGGCCGACTGATGGAATGGAGACTGTGGCTGCCCTCCTGGGCTGCGTGGGGAGGTGAGGCTCGCATGCCAGCCTCAGCTGCACCGGCGCCTGTCCGTGGAGCCCCGGGCCTCATGGACCAGGCAGGTGGACCTCGGTGGCAGGCAGGCAGAGGGGCCGCGAGGTCCGAGCCTGCTGTGTCCTGGGCCAGGTGCGGGTGCGATGATCCCGCCCAGGGTCTGCACCTAGCCACCTTAGATGTGACTCTTCCCGGCAACTGTGGACCTGCTGCAAGTCTGAATGTCGGCCGGGAGGAGGAGGGCCCGGGGCGGGGGCGCTGGGCCGAGTCCGGGTGCACGCAGGGGGTTGTCAGGGGTGTGAGCACCTGCAGGATAGCGGGGGGCCAGGCCTGAGACAGGGGCGCGCCTCCCCCGGCCTCTCTGCTTCCCGCAGAGCCGCCCCATTGAGCCCAGCGCCCCCAGGCCCTGAGAACAAAGCCCCAGGCCCACTTTCATCTTCTCTGCTCAGGGTCCCATGGGGAGGGATGAACAAAAGCCTGACTCAGCATCCCTTCCTGCCCCGTCACCGTCTGGCCACCCTTTTCTTCCCTTTATAATGTACTTTAATAGGGTCAGACCAAGATGGATGGCTCCAAGCCCTGGCAGGAGCGGGGGCGGCGGGGCTGCCCACCCGCCGTCCCCGGGGCCCTGCCCGGAGCTGGGACTGACTGCCAAGGAGTTTCACCCTTGAGGGCTGAAGGTGGGGTGCCCTCTGTCTCCTGGGGGACCCAGTCTGGGCCTCTTGGGGTGCTGGGCCCTCAGCCTCGATCCTGGCTCTAATCTTCTCCCGACCCACCACCCCCACGCCCCGGCAGTCAGCCAGGCCATGTGTGGGCCCAGGGGTCCAGTCCTGAGCCCAGCTCTGAGTGTAGGATGGCAGGGGAAGACACCCAGTCACTGCCCCCATGAGCCTGGACTCTTCCCGTCGCCTGCCGGGTGCTCCTTCGCACCTGACGGGCTCCTCACTCACTGCTCGTCCTCATCAGCCCAGCGACTCGCTGCTTGTGCAGTCCCTCAGTCGTGCCCCACCCCTCGCAGCCCCACGGACTGCAGCACATGAGGCTCCTCTGTCGTCCACTGTCTCCTGGAGTCTGCTGAAATTCATGACATTGAGTCAGTGATGCTGTCCACCCATCTCATCCTCTGTCGTCCCCTTCTCCTCTCGCCTTCAAACTTTCCCAGCACCAGGGTCTTTTCCAGTGAGCTGGATCTTCCCATCAGGTGGCCAGGGTATTGGAGTTTCAGCTTCAGCATCAGTCCTTCCAATGAACACCCAGGACTGATCTCCTTTAGGACGGACTGGTTGATCTCCTCGCAGTCCAAGGGACTCTCAAGAGTCTTCTCCAACACCACAGTTCAAAAGCATCAATTCTTCTGCACTCAGCTTTCTTTATAGTCCAACTCTCACATCCATCTATGACTACTGGAAAAACCATAGCTTTGAGTATATGGATCTTTGTTGGCAAAGTGATGTCTCTGCTTTTTAATATGCTGTCTAGGTTTGTCAAAGCTTCCCTCCTAAGGAGCAAGCATCTTCTAATTTCATGCCTGCAGTTACCGTCTTCAGTGATTTTGGAGCCCAAGAAAATAAACTCTATCACCGGTTCCACTTTTTCCCCCTTCTATTTGCCATGAAGTGATGGGACCAGATGCCATGATCTTAGTTTTCTGAACGTTGAGCTTTAAGCCAGGTTTTCACTCTCCTCCTTTACCCTCATCAAGAGGCTCTTTAGTTCCTCTTCACTTTCTGCCATAAGGGTGGTGTCATCTGCATTTCTGAGGTTATTGATATTTCCCCTGGAAATCTTGATTCCGGCTTGTGCTTCTTCCAGCCCAGCATTTCTCATGATGTACTCTGCATATAAGTTAAATAAGCAAAGTGACAGTTTACAGCCTTGATGTACTCCTTCCCCAATTTTGAACCAGTCTGTTGTTCCATGTCCAGTTCTAACTGTTGCTTCTTGACCTGCATACAGATTTCTCAGGAGGCAGGTCAGGTGGTCTGGTATTTCTATCTCTTTAAGAATTTTCCACAGTTTGTTGTGATCCATACAGTCAAAGGCTTTGGCATAGTCTTTGAAGAAGAAGTAAATATTTTTCTGGAACTCTCTTGCTTTTTCTATGATCCAAAGAATGCTGGCAATTTTGTTCCTCTGCTTTTTCTAAACCCAGTTTGTATATCTGGAAGTTTTCAGTTCACATACTGCTGAAGCCTAGCTTGAAGGATTTTGAGCATTACCCTGCTTGTATGTGAAATGAGCACAATTGCACAGTAGTTTGAACATTCTTTGGCATTGCCCTTCTTTGGAATTGAAATGAACACTAACCTTTTCCAGTCCTGTGGCCACTGCTGAGTTTTCCAAATTTGCTGGCACATTGAGGGCAGCCCTTTCACAGCATCGTCTTTTAGGATTTGAAATAGCTCAGCTGGAATTCCATCACCTCCACTAGCTTTGTTCGTAGTGATGCTTCCTAAGGCCCACTTGACTTCTCATTCCTGGATGTCTGGCTCTAGGTGAGTGATCACACCATCGTGGTCATCTGTGTCATGAGGACCTTTTTTGTACAGTCCTTCTGTGTATTCTTGATGCCTCTTCTTAGTATCTTCTGCTTCTGTTAGGTCCATACCATGTCTGTCCTTTATCATTCCCACCCTGCATGAAATGTTCCCTTGGTATCTCCAGTTTTCTTGAAGAGATCTCTAATCTTCCCTATTCTATTGTTCTCCTCCATTTCTTTGCATTGTTCACTTAAGAAGGCTTTCTTATCACTCCTTGTTGTTCTTTGGAATGCTGCATTCAGTTGGGTATATCTTTCCTTTTCTCTCTTGCCTTTTATTTCTCTTGTTTTCTCATTTATTTGTAAAGCCTAAAATTCTCCAAGCCAGGCTTCAACAGTATGTGAACCGTGAACTTCCAGATGTTCAAGCTGGTTTTAGAAAAGGCAGAGGAAGCAGAGATCAAATTGCCAACATCCGTTGGATTATTGAAAAAGCAAGAGGGTTCCAGAAAAACATCTATTTCTGCTTTATTAACTATGCCAAAGCCTGTGACTGTGTGGATCACCACAAACTGTGGAAAAGTCTTAAAGAGATGGGAATACCAGACCACCTGACCTGCCTCCTGAGAAATCTGTATGCAGGTCAGGAAGGAACAGTTAGAACTGGACATGGAGCAGCAGACTGGTTCCAAATCAGAAAAGGAGTACATCAAGGCTGTATATTGTCATCTTGCTTATTTAACTTATATGCAGAGTACATCATGAGAAATGCTGGGCTGGAAGAAGCACAAGCTGGAATCAAGATTGCCATGAGAACCCTCACCCTCAGATATGCAGATGACACCACCCTTATGTCAGAAAGTGAAGAAGAACTAAAGAGCCTCTTGAAGAAAGTGAAAGAGGAGAGTGAAAAAATTGGCTTAAAGCTCAACATTCAGAAAACTAAGATCATGGCATCTGGTCCCATCCAATTCATGGGAAATACATGGGGAAACAGTGGAAACAGTGTTAGACTTTATTTTTTTGGGCTCAAAAATCACTGCAGATGGTGATTGCAGTCATGAAATTAAAAAATGCTTACTTCTTGGGAGAAAAGTTATGACCAACCTAGACAGCATATTTAAAAGCAGAGACAGTACTTCGTCAGCAAAGGTCCATCTAGTCAAGGCTGTGGTTTTCCCAGTGGTCATGTATGGATGTGAGAGTTGGACTATAAAGAAAGCTGAGTGAAGAAGAATTGATGCTTTTGAACTGTGGTGTTGGAGAAGATTCTTCAGAGTCCCTTGGACTGCGAGGAGATCCAACCAGTCCGTCCTAAAGGAGATCAGTCCTGGGTGTTCATTGGAAGGACTGATGCTGAAGCTGAAACTCCAATACTTTGGCCACCTGATGTGAAGAACTGACTCATTGGAAGAGACCCTGATGCTGGGAAAGACTGAAAGAGGGAGAATAAGGGGACGACAGAGGATGAGATGGGTGGATGGCATCACGGACTCATTGGACCTGAGTTTGAGTGAGCTCTGGGAGTTGGTGATGGACAGGGAGGCCTGGTGTGCTGCAGTCCATGGGGTTGCAAAGAGTCGGACATGACTGAGCGACTGAACTGAACTGAACTGAACTGTAAAGCCTCCTCAGATAACCACTTTACCTTCTTGCATTTTTTCTTCCTTTGGGATGGTTTTGGTCACTGCCTCCTGTACAATGCTACAAACCTCCATCCATAGTTCTTCAGGCACTCTTTTTACCAAATCTAATCCCTTGAATCTATTCATCAGTTCTGCTATATAATCATGAAGGATTTGGTTTAAGTAGTACCTGAATAGTCTAGTGGTTTTTATTTTCTTCAATTTAAGTCTGAATTTGGCAGTAAGGAGTTCATGGTCTGAGCCACAGTCAGCTCCTGGTCTTGTTTTTGCTGATTGTATAGAGCTTCTTTATCTTCGGCTGCAAAGAATATAACCAATCTGATTTCAGTATTGACTATCTGGTGATGTCCATGTGTAGAATCTTCTCTTGTGTTGTTGGAAGAGGGTGTTTGCTATGAGCAGTGTGTTCTCTTGATAAGAGAACACTGTTAGCCTTTGCCCTGCTTCATTATGTACTCCAAGGCCAAATTCACCTATTACTCCAGGTATCTCTTGATTTTCTTATTTTCCATTCCAGTCCCCTAGGATGAAAAGGACATCTTTTTTGGGTATTATTTCTAGAAAGTCTTGTAGGTCATCACAGAACCGTTCAGCTTCAGCTTCTTCAGCCTTAGTGGTGGGGCATAGACTTGGATCACTGTGATATTGAATGGTTTGCCTTGGAAACGAGCAGAGATCATTCTGTCATTTTTGAGATTGTATGCAAGTTCTGCATTTCAGATTCCTGTTGACCATGAGGGCTACTCCATGTCTTCTAAGGGATTCTTGCCCACAGTAGTAGAAGTAATGGTCATCTGACTTAAATTCACCCATTCCAGTCCATTTTAGTTCCCTGATTCCTAAGATGCTGATGTTCACTCTTGCCATCTCCTGTTTGACCACCTCCAATTTACCTTGATTCATGGGCCTGACATTCCAGGTTCCTGTGCAACACTGTTCTTTACAGGATCGGACTTTACCCTCATTGCCAGATGCCTCCACAGCTGGGCTTCATTTCTGCATTGGCCCAGTCTCTTCATTCTCAGGGGTTATTTCTGCAGTTTTCCCCACCTCCTCACTGCTCTCTATAAATCCCCTTGGTGATGGTCACCTGCCCCCCTCTGATCTCTCCCGTGGTCCTAGCAGGCGGATGGCGGGGTGCCTGCTTCACAGATGAGGAGGCTGGGCCTCCGGGCACAGTGGTCATGGCTGAGCGACAAGGTCAGGAGTAACTTTGTCCTGGCGAGGGCCTCCCTGCCCCATGACCTCATGGGGAGACTGAGGCCCAGGCTCACCCTTTGAGCATCAGGGAAACGGGACTTGGAACTGGGGGCTCGGGTACTGGGCAGGCCTGTCTTTGCTCAGGTAAAGAAGGTGCACAGTCTCCCTCCCAGAGATCCAGTCACAAATTGAACTTACACAGTGAATGGAGGGATTGGCGTTTCCCTTACCAAGCTTCTTTGACTGGGTTCTCCTTTCTGGGGGGTGGGGGCAGCTCTATCCATAGCAGCCAAGAGATGAAAACAGCACATGCGTCCATCAGTGGATGAATGGATAACCACATGTCTATCCATACAGTGGAATACTACTCAGCCAGGAAAAGGGAGTCCTGACACATGCTACAATGTGAATGAACTTCAGAAACATCACGCTCTCTACGTGAAACAGGCCAGATGCAAACGGTCCCGTGTTGTATATCCCCACTTAGTTCAGAATAGGCGAATCCACAGAGACAGCAAATGAGTGGTGGCCAGGGACTGGGGGAGGGGTAGTGGGTATGATAGCTGGATGGTGCAGGGTTTCTCCTCAAGGTGATGAAAATATGGAGTTAGTGATGATGAATGCGCAATTCTATGGAAATGTAAAAAATCACTGAGCTGTACACTTTAAAAGGGTGACTTCCATGGTTTTTGACATATCTCAGCTTAAAAATACACACACACAAAGCCATACAGCGGAGTTCTGCATGGCCAGGGGCAGCGCCTCCTCTCTGGCTGGACAAGTGGCAGGGTGGGTCCTGCTTCTGGTGCTTCTGGAATTGGGGCCCAGGCACAGCCCAGGCTCTGCTCAAGGAAGGGAGGCCGGGGTCAGGATGGGGGTGGGATCTGTGCATGCTGACTGCACATCTCAGGAGGTTTGGGCCTCTCTGCCCAGCTCCCGCCTTAGACAGAAGGGGAGACTGAGGCTCGGAGAGGGACACTGGCTCCCCGGGGAGCCCTCAGAATTGAGCCGTCTTCCCTGAGGTCTGCTCCAGCAGCCCCGGTGTTGTGGGGGCTTCCCAGGGGCCACCTGCAGACCCGGAACTGGGACTCCTCCCTTTGACCTCCGGCTGTCCCCTAGGTCTGCAGTGGACTACTGGCCTTGTGTCTATCGCTGTCTAAGAAATGACGCTCCACGCAGCAGTTTCAGCGAGGATAACCATTTGTGGTCATGCGTAGTTTCTCTGCATCTGGGAGCAGCTTTGCGGGGCAGGTCTGGTTTGGAGGCTCTTGAGAGGTTGCCGTCGAGGTGACGGGGCCGAAGTGACTTGCTTGGGCTGAAAGGTCCACTTCCAAGGGTCTGGCACACATCACTGGCACATCGGTGCCCGCCATGGCCAGGAGGCCTCGGTTCCTCCCCCCGTGGATGCTCCGCAGGGCATCCTCACAGCGGGTGGCAGCTCCCCCAGGGCCGGTGGTCTGAGAGCGAGCCAGGCAGAAGCCAAGGGTCTTAGGACTGGCCTCAGAATCCACACCCCATCATGACCACATGATGTCCACCTCTGCCCCCCATGGGAGGGGACCACCTCAGGGCTGTGGACCCTAGGAGGCGGGGTCACTGGGGCCGGCCAGGGGACTGATTACCTGAACTTGTGAAGTCCACACGAAAATCAAAACCTTTCTGGAGCTGGTGCGTGCAGCCTCTTCAACCCTTTGATCTTGCTGTTTTTAGTCCTTCCAAATAAACTGATGTTAATTCACTGTGATTGCTCCTGCCGCATGGAGCCCCGGGACCATCTCTCGGCTGAGGTGATATTTTTAAAGCTGCCTGACATGGTCTCTTTAGCAGGCAGGAAGACTGGCAGACCTGAGCCCTGATGGTGGAAACACCCCCAGACGTGTCCCGGCCTGTGCCCAGCGGCCAGTGCTGGACAGGGAAGACACAGTGGACTGTCCATGGAAGCTGTGTCCTGGGGGAGGGCCAACACTACAATAATCAGGAGGGTCTACAACTCAGTGAGAAATGCTGGGACTTCCCGGGCAGCCCAGTGGACTCTGCGCTTCTACTGCTGGGGCCCTGGGTTCCATCCCTGGTCGGGGAACTAATCCCACAGCCAAAAAATTAATCAATAAAAGTGAAAAGGGCTTCCTTGGTGGTGCGGCAGTATAGAATCTACCTGCAAACGCAGGAGACACAGATGTGGGTTCGATCCCTGGGTCCAGAAGATCCCCTGGAGGAGGAAACGGCAACCCACCCCAGTGTTCCTGCCTGGGAAATCCCATGGACACTGGAGCCTGGTGGGCTACCTTCTGTGGGGTCCCAGAGAGTCAGACACGACTAAGGCGAGGAAACAACAATTAAAAAGGAGAGAGAAATGCTGCTCCCGGAGAGCCCCCTTCTTTTATTTCCATGTGGCTCTGCATTCTCAGAGGCTGACCTTGCTGATGGAATCCAGGCCTCCCTCTCCTCCAGCTTTAGACGGTGGTGGCTGTCACTAAGACGTGTCCAACTCTTGTGACCCCGTGGACTGTAGCTCTCTAGGCTCCACTGTCCATGGAATTCTCCAGGCGAGAATACTGGAGTGGGTTGCCATTCCCTTCTCCAGAGGGGTGAACAATTCTGGTCAGGGTGTCGATTTCTCTCCAGGAGGCCAGTGCCCGCCAGGTGCCCCCATCCCAAGCCCCCTCTGCCTCTGGGTTCAGGTCACCATCCCCACCCGTCCTCCTTCTCCAAGCCTAGGGTGGGGACAGCCCCTGCTTCCAGCCCTGGCTCGTGGGGCCAGCCTCTCACAGTTTCTCTCACCTTTGCAAACCCTCTGGTTTGTAAGCAGTCCTCAAATTACTCTGCCTGAGAGCAGCAACAAGAGGTCCCCCAACTGACGTGCCTCTGAAGGGGAGGGTGGGCAAAGGACAGCCGACAAGCTCCTCCCCCTCTTCTGGGAAAGTCCATCTCTTTGCAAGGGGAGGCAGAGTTCCCATTTGCATTGTTGGGGTTCAGTCGCTCAGTCATATCTGACTTACTGCAACCCCATGGACTGCAGCACGCAGGCTCCCCTGTCCTTCACCATCTCCGGGAGCTGCTCAAACTCATGTCCACTGAGTTGGTGGTCAGTGCTATGGACTAGGAGACCAGGAGGCAGTGTTCACACGACTTTCATTAAAACTCCAAGATGACACAAACATTTTCTAAGACCATAGTGTAAGCGGGTGCTGGTCCCTTCCTGGGCTCACCAGGCCTTATGGGCACAGCTGGATCAGGGGCCAGGGCTGGATGCATGGCCACTGGGCAGCAGGTGTCCAGCCTGGCAGTGGGTGTTCCTCCAGGGGGCGGGGAGTTGGAAATAACCGAAGGTGTTGAGAAGAGCCCCTGGAGGAGGGTGTGGCAACCCACTCCAGTCTCCTTGCCTGGAGAATCCCATGGACAGGGGAGCCTGGCGGGCTGCAGTCCACGGGGGCGCAGAGTCTAACTGAAGCGACTTGACACGCACACAGGTACAGAGGACATTCATCAGATGTCCTTGATTCTAGAAAGAGTTGAATAAATTAATCTAGATTTGCCTGCCAGACCCCGATGTCAACATTATAAATGATAACTTGAGTATTGAGTCAGGAAAATGTATATGATACAATTTTGATAGAAAAACAAGAGCACAAAATGGTAAATATAGTATGATTTCTAGGTTTAATGTGTATATATATATATTCACAGAAAGTGAAAGAGGAGAGTGAAAAAGTTGGCTTAAAGCTCAACATGCAGAAAACTAAGATCATGGCATCTGGTCCCATCACTTCATGGCAAATAGATGGGGAAACAATGGAAACAGTGACAGACTTTATTTCTTGGGCTCCAAAATCACTGCAGATGGTGATTGCAGCCATGAAATTAAAAGCCGCTTACTCCTTGGAAGAAAAGTTATGACCAACCTAGACAGCATATTTAAAAGCAGAGACATTACTTTTCCAACAAAGGTCTGTCTAGTCAAAGCTATGGTGTTTCCAGTAGTCATGTATGGATGTGAGAGTTGGACCATAAATAAAGCTGAGTGGAGAAGAATTGATGCTTTTGAACTGTGGTGTTGGAGGAGACTCTTGAGAGTCCCTTGGACTGCAAGGAGATCCAACTAGTCCATCCTAAAGGAGATCAGTCCTGGGTGTTCATTGGAAGGACTGATGCTGAAGCTGAAACTCCAATACTTTGGCCACCTCATGGGAAGAGCTGACTCATTGGAAAAGACCCTGATGCTGGGAGGGATTGGGGGCAGGAGGAGAAGGGGACGGCAGAGGATGAGATGGTTGGACGTCATCACTGACTCAATTGACATGAGTTTGAGTAAACTCCGGAGTTGGTGATGGACAGGGAGGCCTGACGTGATGCAGTCCATGGGGTTGCAAAGAGTCGGACATGACTGAGCAACCGAACTGAACTGACTCACAGAAAAAAAAGACTAGCGGAAAAAGCCGAAGTATTAATAATGATTCTCTCTTCATGCTGGGATTATTGGTGTTTTAATTTTGTCTCTTATCCTTTAGCTTTCTACATTCTCCAGACTTGCCCAAAGGAATTGCTTTTTCATTTGTTTGTTTAGAAAGTGTTACAGTAGTCGCTCAGTCATGTCCGACTCTTTTGCAACCCCATGGACTGTAGCCCACCAGGCTACCACGTCCATGGAATCCTCCAGGCAAGAATACTGGAGTGGGTAGGCTGTTCCCTTCTCTAGGGGATCTTCCCAACCCAGGGATCAAACCCGGGTCTCCTGCGTTGCAGGCGGATTCTTGATCATCTGAGTCACCAAGGAAACGACTTAAAACGCAAACCAAGGAGGACCAGCGCAGACAGAAGTCGCACGGGCAGACCGCATCACGTGACAGCCTCTCAGCCCTGTTCACGTGTGCTTTCCAGATGCCTTTCCCTGCAGCATCGCTGGGGCGGCTCGGGGGGCTGTGGTCCCAGCAGGCTCTGGCTCGTCTCTCTGAAAGTGATCTGTCCCCGTCGGACTGGTTCAGAACGCGCCTCCCCCCTCCCTACCGCCTGACTCCTTCCAAATGCTCTTCCTGTAAGCTCTGTTGCTCTGCGAGACGACACCGAGATCTGCTCAAGACAAGGAGGTCGCACCTCAGGGTCCGGAGTCCTGAGCTGAGCTGCCGTTGGCTGGGGGGCTGGTGGGGACCCTGGCAGAGCCGCCAGTCCCCGGGAAACATACACTCACTGCACACCTACAGCCGTGGGAGACGGACTTCCCTGCTGGCCCAGCGGTTAGGACTCTGCGCCTTCACTGCCGAGGGCGCGGGTTCCCTGGTTGGGAAGCTGAGATCCTGCAAGCCACATGGTGTGGCCTGAGAACCCCAAGAGACAAACCCCAAACCCCACAAAACAAGAGCAACACAAACCCCGACAGGCCACCGAGCGCCGCATCAAAAGGAAGGAACCGGGAGGCGGACGGGCAGCAGAGCGTGGCCGGAGGGTCCTGGTGAGGTCAGGGTCAGCTAAGCCCGGTGATTGCAGTCGAGAGGGTTATAGGATGGATGGAAAGGAAACAGGTTCTTAAGAGAAACCGTGGGGGAACTGAAGGCGTGTCGATGCCAGGGGAGCGGCGGGGGCCTGAGGATGCTTGACCGTCACACCTGCAGGGTCCGCTCCCAAGGCCCTGCACCTGGTTCTGTGTTTGTTTTCAAGAGGCCTGCAATCTGTGCCCGCTTCCTGCCGTGCAGAGCCTGGCTCTGCCCTGACACGGATGCCGGTCTGAGCCCCTGTGGAGGGTTCCCGGCTCAGAGAGGGCAGAGGCGGCCCCTGGGCACGACCCCTCCCACCCCACGGCTCAGCCCTCTCTCCCTGGAGTGGGACCCGGGAGTCTGGTCCGTTCTTCGGCCTCCCCGGCCCCCTCTCCCGGCTCCTCCAGCTGGAAACATGCTTCCTCTGAGACTTACATTGCACCCTTTCCTTGGGAACCCCCCGGAGCCCCCTGGGAGATTCGGCCCAGGTGGTGCCCCACCCCCGGCCCACCACTCCCCTGCCCTAGCCTAAGGCTCTCTTCTCTCCCTGTTATCACAAGGCCAGAATCCCGCAGACAGGCTCTGCCCTGGTCACCCCAGGTCCCCAGCACCGGGCTGGGTGCCCGCTGCTCAGGAGATACTCAACACCTTCTCCCTAAATAAGCCCCAGAGTCAAGGAAGGACTGGAAGCAGGCCCTGGCCAACCCGTGTGGCCCTGACAGGCGCCTGGTGTGGGACTCCGCAGCGTGCGGGGGTCCTGAGCGGGTGGTGTCCTTCCTGCCGGAGGAACCCTCGTCCCAGTCCTCCGGGCCCTTCTGGGCCGAGCGGCGTGGCCCGCGCGGGGAGTGGACTCGCAGGAAGCCCGCGTCTTTCCCAGATCCGCCCCCGGCAGAGACGGCTCCTCCTGCTCACTCAGCGGGTGCCCCTCTCGGCCCGTTCGGGGGTCTCCAGATAAAGCCGCCCCCTCAAAGGCCACCGGCCACCCCAGGCTCGGCAGAGGGCTGTGAAACCTGTGTCCCTTCCCAGTCGTCCCCGCCGCCCGTCTCCTGGCCGTGGAGACCGCGCCCCCAGCACAGCGAGCGCCGCGGCAGGTGGGCCTGCTGGTCTCCAGGGCCCTGACAGCCTCGGTGACACCCTATTAAAAGCCGAACACGCGTTTTCCTCCTGCCGATCTTTTCCCTTTTCATTTAGCAAACGTTGATTCCCTCCTGCAGATGGAATAGAATGAAATCACACATGCCTCTTTGGGGAGATTTAGCTGTCAGAGCCAGAGGCGCTGGGCAGACGGGGGCTTCTCTTGTCACCTCATCCATGGCTGGCTTCGTGACCTCAGACAGTCGTTTGGCCTTTCTTGTCTGCCGGTTCCTCCCCCTGGCCCCACCGGCTGGAAGAGGAGCCCCCCGCGCCCCTGGCCTGCAGAGCAGGAGGCTTTATTCACCAGCCAGTGGGGCCTCCCGGAGAGGCTCAGAAGAAACCTTCTGTAAAAAAGCCAAGTTCAAGGTTGTGTCAACACCAAACACCATGAAGTGGCAATTATCCAATTAACTTGATTAGTGTAGACAGAACCGCCAACGTCTGCTCGGCATACCCACTTCCGCCCATTTCCTGAGCTTAGGCAGCTGCGGCAACAGAGAGAGAACCCTGGGAGCAAGAGACTGGGCCTCTCTGCGCTCCAGCCGCCCTGACTCTAGTCCGGGGGTGACAGAGCTTCCCCCACAAGTCTGTGGTGAAGGCGTGTGGGCTGACCTCGGTGAGAGCTCTGGGTAGACGGGGGCGCTGGCTTTAAAGGCAGGGCACGTGGGCGGGGGTGGTGCAGACCCACTTGCATCCTGGTGAGCTGACTTTTTTTCACCCTCCATGACTTTAGGCGCTTGAAAAGTGTATATTTTGTGGGGACTCCCTCCTACCAGGGCCAGCATGGGCAAGGTGCTCCGTGCCTGGGTTTCTCCGTCTGGTCCATGGGAATTCTAACGGCCTGAGCCTCAGTGGGGCATGAGCACAGGTTTGGAGGGTGGTGAAGGTATGACGGTGGTACAGAGGAAGATGATGGTGGTGACGATGGTGGCTGCGACGGTGGTGATGGTAAAGAAGATGATGCTGGTGGTGGTCATGACGACGGTAGAATGGAGATGATAAAACACCATTCTCATGGGCTGACTACACAGCCAACCAAGGAAACATTCTTAACCACAGAGTCCTTTCCACAGAGAGGTGGAGTCAAATCCTCTTCACTTGACTCTGGACCCTACAGCTTGCTTAACCAACAGAGCACTGGGGAAACGATGCCATGTGACTTCCAAGTCAGGGTCAGACGACGTTTTGCAGCCCTCCTGCCCCACGGCCGTGCTAGGACATCCCGGGAGCCCTCGGCCGTGCGTCAGTCTAGCTCCCCGGAGAGCACGCCACTGGGAAGGTGCGCTGGGCGGCTGTCCCCGCTGAGCCCAGCCTTCCAGTCCTGCAGTGAGGAGCCAGACTTGTGAATAAAGCCATGCAGACCAGCCTGGCTGTCAGCTGAAGACCACCATGCGAACCCGCCAGTGTCACATGGAGCAGGAGAGCTGCCCGGTTGAACCCCAAAGGAATTCCTGACCCACACAGTCTTGAAACAGAACAGAGTGATTGTCGCGAGCTGCTCCACGTGGGGGCAGCGTGTGAGGCGGCAGCAGCCGCCGGGGACTGGCTGCTTCTGGTTCTCAGCCACTTCCTGGATGAACGTGTGTCTGCAGGCGGCTGCTTGGCTTGGCGCCACACACCTGAGTCCCCGCCGGGGCCTGGCCCTGCTACGGGGCCCACTTCAGACAAAGAACGGTCAGCTCTGCGCCAACTTCTCGGCAAGGGGGAAGGCGGGTGTATTTTGAAGCCACAGGGCTGTGAAAAGTCCCAGACGGAAGGCCCTGGGTGGGCTGGAAAGAGCCTGGCACAGTGTGAGCTGAGAGCTCCCTGGTGGGGCCCCGCCTGCAGCCCCAAGGCGGTCCACTCGAGGGCAGGACGGCCCTGAGACAGGAACGACTGGACGGGGCCAGCCGGGCAGCTCCCGGCGGTGCCCATGCAGACCGCAGCCTGGCACATGCTCCCGCCAGGTCCTGTTTCTGGGGGGCTCGCTGGGGGTCCTGGCCCGTTGGCAGGCTGCCCTGAGGGAGAGAGGGGCAGGGAGGGGGTTGGAGCCACCAGCGGGTGGGCTGCCCCGGCCCGCCCCCGGCGCGCCCCCACACTGGAGGGCAAGGGCGCCAGCGTCTGGTGCTCCGACTCTGGTGAGCCGACAAGGTCTACCAGAAACCAGTGAAAGTTTGACTGGGATTGTCTCAGTTCCTCGTAGGGAAATACCTCATCTCATCCAATATTCAGCCTTACAGTCCATGAACATGGTACATCCTTCTGTTTGTTTAGATCTTTATTTTCTTTCCTCAGCACTATTTTGTGATTTTTTAATGTAGAGAGCTTGGACAAATGTTGCTAGATTTATTCCTGAGCACTTTAATTTTTTGTGCTATCCTAAGTGGAATTTTTAAGACTTTATTTTTCCATTATTTGCTGCTAACATGTGAGTATGACAGATTTTTTTTTATATTAACTTTGTATTCTATGACTTCACTAAATTCATTTATTGGTTCTTATGGTTGTTTTGTACATTTCTTGGAGTTTCCTCCATGAGTTATCATATCATCTGCAAACAGGCAGAGTTTTGCTTCTTTTCTGAACTTTGTCTTTTCTTTCTGTTATCTTGGCTTACAGCGATGTCTGGGACCACCAGTATCATGTGGAACAGGAGCAGCAAGAGACACCTTTGTTCCCAATACTGGGGAGACAAGTCAGCTTCTCACTGTTGAGGATGCTGTTGACCATAGGTGGTTTTTCAGCAGATTCCCTCCATTGGTTTGAGGACGTGTCCTTCTAGACCTAGTTTACTGAGAGTTTTTATAATGGATGAGTAGTGAATTTCGTCAAGTACTTTTTATGAATCTTTTGAAATAATCATACTTTCTTTGGAAATAATATGATTTTCCTCCATTAGCCTGTTAATATCATGAATTCTATTGTTTTTCAAATGTTTAACCAACAATGTATTTCTGAGTTAAATCTTAGGGATTGAACTATCATCTCAATGAGGTAGTATCCCTTTTTAAAGTGGATGGATGGGGTTTAATTTGTTAATATTTTGATATTTTATTAAATCTTTGAAAAATATTTTTATTGAACATCTGACAAAAGATTTGAATAATTGCTAGAATTCATCAATGAAACCATCTGGGCCTGGAGTTTTGGGGTTATTTCTGATAAATTGAATTTCTTTAATAGCTGTAGGATTGATCAGATTTTCTGTCCCTTCTGTCAACTTTGGTACGTTGTCTTTTCTAAGAAATATGCCCATTTCACCTACACTGTCATATTTTTGGGTACCAAATTGCATATACAGAATTCTCTTTTATTTTATCAATATTTGTAGGATCTGTAGTAATAACTCCCTTTTCATTCTGATACTGATGATCTTCTTAATACTGGTTATTTTTGTGCTCTTTCTTCTTGATCATCTAGGCAGGGATTTGTCAGTTTGTTGATATTTTCAAAGACCCAGTTTTTGGCTTTGTCAGTTTTCTCTGCGCTTTTATTTCTGTTTTGTGATTTTCTGTTATTATCTTTCTTATATCCCTCATTCTGTTTACTTTGGATTTAGTTTATCATCCTAAGGGGAAACCTTAGGTCACTGATGCTGGATCGTCTCTCTTTCCTAATATAATTATTTAAAGTCATGAATTCTTCTGAGAACCGCTTCAGTTGCATCCCACGAACTCTGATGTGTGGGGTCACTGTTGGCAGCTTTGTTCCCGCTATTTGGAGAGAAGAGGACGGGTCCAGGAGTTAGACCTGTAATTTCATCTCTGGGCAGGAGGACCGAATCGGGTCCATGACGCAGCAGAGTCCTTGGCCCACTGTGGAAAGGGCGGTGGGCCGCCTGGGCCGCTCTGCCTCCCGCCCATCTCAGACTCACCGCTCTGCCTCTCCCAGCCATCCCGCCCGCCTCTGCCCGGGGCCGTCTGTCCATCCCTGCTCTTGCGGCGGCACCGCCTGCCTTGCGTCCCCCTAAGTCATCGCTCCAGGTCCAGGTCACACTGGCGTCCGTTTGTCTCTCTGGACGTCTGTCTTCATGCTTGGCCCTTGTGGTTGCCAACAGTCCCTCCTTCCATGAACTTAGAAATCCGTCTCGCTCTTCGTCTAGGCGGCGGGTCGCTGCTCGAAGCCTGATAATCATGATGATAGCCCAGCTTGCCATGCTCCTCACTGCCATCCTGGCAGAGACTCTTGCCCCATTAAGGATGGAAAGGAGGTTCAGGCGTGCTGGGGTCTTGCCCAGGCTCCTGTCATGGGGCTGATCTCAGGAGGGGCAGGAGATCCGGCCCAGGTCCCCCCTGCTGCCCAGAGAGAAGACGGATCCTGACCGGCTGCATGTACTCCAGACTGGCGGTGGCTCTGTGTCTTCACGTTCCAGCCGGGAGTGCTGGCAGGGGTGGGGCTGGACCCCTTGCTTCAGCGGGGCCGCCTGCTCTTGAAAAGACCCCAGCGAAGATAGCAGGCCAGCCAGATGGCGGAGCTGTTGCTCAGAAGTGTGTGCACACTGCTTACGGGAGAAGAACCAGCTTCTTTCCCTAGCCACGAGGATAATTTGGGGAGTCTCTGGGAGTCTCCTTTCTTTTTTCCCACAGTCAAGTTTTATTTATTTACTTTTAAAGCAAATGTATTCACTGTGTACTCTGTATGTGCGCTCCGCCCATTCTTTGACCCCATGGCCCACTGAGGGGGTGGGGCTGGTGCTATTACTGGTTCCCATTTTACAGCGGAGGAAACTGAGGCTCAGAGAACATAGTCAGAGCCCAGGTCTGCCAGGCCACACAGGACATGCCACAAGTCTTCCCACCCCGCCTGGAGTGTCCCTGGAGAACGCAGGTGACTGAGACTCTAAGGTCGCTCCTTTCGGGTTCCGTGTAGGAGGGGTGAAGCCATCAGCACCCTAAAGCATGTTCCCCGGGGCCAGTTGAGGCCAGTGCAGCCGTGTTGGACATGCAGATGCTGACCCAGGACTGCTTGGCCGCCCCAGACAGACATCCTAGGCTCCTCTGAGGGCAGTTCCAGTGGGTACCTTTTCTCATGGGACCCAGCAAACCCAGTGTCCATTAGAGGATCCACTAGAAAGAGACTCAGCTAACTAGCATCCTTTGTAGGCATCACGGGTCCAGCCACAGCAGGGACACTTAGCAGGTACCAGGCACCTACTGCGGGTCTGACCTCTGCATGCTGCATCTCAGACTCTTTCAAGGGCCTTCTAGGAAGGTTCTGGGGCCCTTACTTCAGTGGGGATGAAACAGGGACAGAGCAGCCCAGGTGCTGGGCCCCGAGGACCGAGCTGTTAGAGCAGGGATCCGACCGCGGGTGGCTTCGAAGGTCCAGTTCTCTCTGCACGCCCACCCCACAGGCCCGCAACAGCCGGGCGGAGAGCTCTCTGGCTCACAAGAGAGCTGTCTGCCTGTCCAGGGAGCTGGGCCTGCGGGGCCTGGTCAGAGAGGCCTGAAATCCAGCTTAGCTCTGAGCTTGACTGGAAGATGCAGACGGGAGCCGCTCGGGGCTGGCGGTCTGGGCGGAGGGAGGGGAGTCAACACTAATTCGTCTTCAGACGGCCGAAGGGGGTAATCGCCGGAGTGACAGGGCTGAGAAATCCTGTTAGTCCTCCGCTCAGCTCCGGCTGTCACGCGGCGTCCAGACAAAGCCGCTGCTGGGGGCTGCGGGCGTGACGAAGGGCTCACATTCAGGGAGGGCAGGCGGCAGGGACCCCAGAGACGGGCTGATCCCTGAGGCCTGCTGGAGCGGGGAGGGCCGAGCCCCACAGCCCCAGGGCCTGCTGGAAGCGTCTGAGGGCCCAGGCAGCCGGCCTTGGGCGAGCCCCTCCCTTCTTCTGGGCCCCAGCGTCCTGGGCATAAAATTGTGGGAGCGGGAGAAGACCTCCCGGGGATCAGGGTGGTCTGCAGACTTCCTGAATCTTGCCTGGCACATTTGACTTGCCAGTCCTCTGGAAAGTGGTAGCGGCAGGGTGAGGCCACGGGCTGTCCGGCCACTAGGGCAGCGGGGGCCCTGCGCTGGGCTGACCTGGGGTAGGATGGGGGGAGGGGAGCTGGGGTAGACTGGGGGGAGGGGAGCTGGGGTAGGATGGGGGGAGGGGACCTGGGCTAGGATGGGGGGAGGGGGCCTGGGGTGTATGGTGGGGAGGGGACCTAGGGTAGGATGGAGGGGGAGGGGACCTGGGGTAGGTCTGGGCGGGAGCGTGCAACCTGCTCCACCAGTCGGGTCGATCAGCTTCTCCCCCTTGGACCGGGCTCCAGCTATGGACCAGTCTGGACTGTGGCTGGGCAGTGCCCCTGGGAAGCCGTGATGGAAAGCAAGTCCCAGCATCCCGACCTGGCTCCCCTGCAGAACAGGGCCCACCGTGGTGTTTGTCTCCGTGTGAGAATGAGCATGCTTCTGGAGGAGGTCACAGTCAGGAGGGCGGCCCCCCAGGCCCGGAGCCCCCTCCCTGGGCTCCCACTCCCTCTGTCCTCAGAGATGGAGGCCCTTTCAAACATGGGCCACCCCGACTTGCTGGGGCAGAATCACCATTCCCCACCGAGTGTGCTGAGCCCCATCCGCCAGCCCCTGCAGTTGCCCCCCCACCCCCAACCCGACCTCCCCAACAGGAGGTTCTGCCCTCTCCTGTCCCCCTGGAACCAGCCCCACATCCAGGCTCCTCCAGACCCCGAGCCATGACACCCGATCAGAGAGTCTGGGAGCCCTGCTGGCTCTCTGAGCCCTCATCTGCATTTCTCCTGGGCTTCCTGTCGCGTCCCCTCTCTGGTCTGAGTGTCTGGCCCACCTGGGCGTGTGTCACACCACGGTGCCACCTGCAGATAGATGGAGGGAGAGGCGGCCTGGACCACCAGCTGTTCCCTTCCTTGCTGCCGGTCCCGGTGGACCCTTGACCGCTGACTCCCGGGAGGCACTGCTGAGCGAGGGTGGTGTTTATGGGGTGCCGGGGCCCAGGCAGGGCCCCGTCCTGCAGCTCAGGATGTCTTGGATGAAGCCAGCCGTTCAGCTGTGCTGGCAACAGAGAGCCAGGAACAAAAGCCAAGTGGCTTCTGCGTCAGCCTTTAAAACCACTGAAATGATCTCACTTGTCACTCTGTGGTCCAAATATTTTGCCCACTTAGACGCAGCCTTCTGTGCTTGTGAAATTAAGTGTGTTATTACTCTCACCTGGCCCGGTGACAGGGTGGGCAGATCAGATAAATAACCTTGCAGCGGATCAGGCGAGTGGGAGCGTATCCTTATCGGCACAGCCTGAACACGGCTGCTTCCGGCTGGATGTGGGTGGAGGAGGGGCTGCCTGGGGTGGGTAGGGGGGTGCGGGTGGCCTGGTGGTGGGGGCTGGGGGCATCCCCCACAGCGAGGAGGGTGGGAGGCAGGTGTGCTTAGAGAGGAGATGAGACCCCTGGCTTCCGGGGCTCAGGAGGCTGTCTCGTTGGTGGGGGGCCGCACAGGGCCCCGGGGGTGGGCTGGGGTGTTCTGAGCTGGAGACAGGACCTGGCCCAGTGTCGCTGCAGTGCCAGGAGTCAACTTTCAGATGCATTCAGACAGGCTTTTGTTAACTCTATTTTTTTCTTTCTTTCTGATTTTAAATGTGATAAAGGCTCACTGCAGAAAAACGAAGAAAATTACAAAGGCGGGTGTGCAAGCTCCCAGCTCCCCGCCTGCAGCAGACGGGGCAAGGGGTCTCTTTCCTGACTTTTGTGGATCGTTTATGGTCAGAGTCTTCCCACCACCAGCACGTTGTTTCCAGCACACGTGTGTGTTCTGTCAGGGCTGATCCTGTATCATTCAAGAGACGATCGGCGGTGTCTGTCAAGGCTGCCCCTCTTCCCGGTGGCCACGGGGCCTCCCCTTCCTCACTCCGTCTCCTCTGAGTTTTGTTTCCTTAGGATGGAGCGCAGCCAGCTCAGCTCCGGGCACCGCAGGGGCGCTGGCGGCCGGGGCATGCCCAGGGCAGGGCTCGGGGAATCACTCACCAGCGGGGTGCAGGAGGCAGGCTTATGTTACAGCGGAGGAAGCCGAGGCTGGGGAGAGGACGGCCAGCTGGCGCAGAGGATGAGCCGTCGGGGGCACCCCTGGGTCTGAACCCCAGTGAGTGACACCGGTCAGGCTCTCAGGGTGACAGTGTCCCCGGGCGGCTAATGTTTCTCTGAGCCCAGTGAGCCGAGAGGGCCAGTGGGCGGGCTGCTGCGTCCCAGGTACCCACGGGGCCAGCCCGGCCGGCCAGCTCTTGCAGACAGACTGACACAGGCGTGGGCGGTGCTGAGTGGGGACCGCGGCTTCCCCAGGTGCCGTGACTCACCCTCGCTGCCCAGGGTGACGCGTGTGCGGCTGGCTAGGTGCGAACCTGCCTTTGCTGGTGTCCCTGTGGCCTCTCAGGCTGCTCTGAGCGGCCCCGCTGGGAGGCCCTTCTGCCTTCCTGAGTGTGCACTTGAGTCCTGAGACCCCGGGGCCGAGCCAGCAGGGCACAGCTCGTTGGGACGGGCCCTCACCCAGCTCAGCTCCAGGGGCCCAGCGTGGATATGGTGTGGGCAGACCCGGCTGAAACGGGCCTGTTCCCACCGAGAGGCCCAGTCCCCTGCGACAAGAGAGACCTACGTATAAACCCTGGGACGATCGGGAAACATCTGGCTACGAGGCTTAAACTGGGCGATGCTGGGACCTCGCCTGGGCGGAGCCCCTGGAGGGACCTGGGGTGTGAGATGACCCTGGCGGTGACCCTGCAGGCTGGGCCGGGTGGGGCTTGATGACCAGGTCACCCCAGCGGTTTCCTCGTGGCTCGCTCAGGGCCAGCAATCTGCGACTTGATCTCCTTCAGGCCACCCTGGGCGCCGCAGGTTCAGCCCTGTCTCTGCCCCCGCTGGGGGTCCCCTCTTGACTCAGGGGTCTGTGGCTCGCAGAGTCGGGCCAGCCTCTCAGGGGAAGGGGACTGAAGCAGGGCGTGGCCCCGCCCCTGTCTTGCCCCCCTGCCCTCCACGGCAAAGGCCTTGGAGGAAAGGGCCTTGCTGCTAAGCCCACTTGTAGCTCCTGGACCCGGGCAGCTGTCCAGGCTGTGCAGGGGGCCCATGACAGCCAGGTTTCCACCTCCCGTCCTGCATCTCCTTCACCCCAGGGAAGGCGGGAACTCCACGCTCACATCCCAGGGGGAGGTGAGGGCAGCCCACCGCATGCAGGGTCTGGGCACTCTGGGGGCGAGGTGGGGCGGTCCTGGACAAAGCAGAGACCCCTGTCCTGGGAACGTGCTGCTGGAGGTGCCCGGCAGGTCCCACATGTGGCCAGCACCGCCCGGAAGCAGGAGGCAGGGAAAGTGGCCAACACGGCCCACAAGGAGCGGGTGTCCCTGGGGGAGTGAGCGGAGGTCCATGCCCGTGGCCGAGGGAAAGCCTGTCTCCTCTGGTTCGTTGACACTGCATGGGGCTTGGGCTCACCTTCCCGTCCTGCCTACGAGGGTGAGGCTGTGTGTCCTGGGGAGGCGGGATGCCAAGGCCGGGCCCCCTGCGGGCAGGTAAGTCTGAGCTCTCGTCCTGGGCGCCTTTCCAGGGCAGCCCCTTTTCTCTTTTGTTTTTTTAGCTCAGATGTAGCTCCTCTGGGGAGCGTGGACCCTCGTCAGTGCGAGAAACAAAAGCCACAGTCATCATCAACCTGAGGATGGGGGCTTCCTGAAGGGAGCCCTGGGGACTGGGGGCTGGTGGATGGGACCAGGAAGGACGGGGCAAGGTGGGAGTGATGGAGGAGGGAGTTCAAACCCCCTGGAGATTTTCTCAGTGCTGTCTCTGGGTTTTTCCCAAAGCAAACCCTAAAAGGCTTCCTCAGGGAACACACCTGACTCAGGGACTGGAGACCCATTGTACTGATAGGCAAGCTGAGGCCCCGAAAGGGAAAGGGTGTTTTCGTAAGTACAAAAATTGTGAGATGTAAATAGGGACCCTGAGAGCCCACCCCCAGGCTCGGAGAGGAACCTAGCCTTGTGAAAACAACACCATGCTTCCGTCCTTGCCCCGCCTCCCTGAGTATCTTGAGCTCCCATGATGTCCCAGGCAGGGCAATGGAAAGCTGCTGGTCCCACGCCCGGGTCCCCAGCCTCAGTGGGATCTCAGGTCTGCGGGAACATCCAGGAAACAGGCCTCCTGGAGGCATCGGGAAGGTGTGGGCTCTCGGTGGGGCAGAGGAAGCTCAGCCAGGCTTTGGGGTGTGCGTGTCAGCAGTGGTCAGCCAGTTGCCCACAGGGGCCGCAGTGGGGCAGGGCCTTGGGTGGAATGTGGAGAGGCCGGTGCGGACAGCGGTCCAGAACTGCCGTCTGCCCGGGATCGGGAGGCTTTGTGGGCAGGGCTGGGTGCCGGCAGGAGGGAGATGACTCAGGGCAGGAAGGGAGGGCCTGGCTGGTTTTCTTAGGAGTTTGGACTTTATCCCGAGGGCGATGGGGAGCAGGAAAGGGTTTTTAACCTGCTTGGCGGGGGGTGGCAGGGCTCTTCCCTCCAGTGTGTGGCCGCTTCCTCGGACCTCGCGCTGCAGCCAGCCTGGGCCTTCCTGGGATGGCGCTGGCCGAGGGCAGCCGTAGCCTGGCTGGCGGGTGGTCTGGGGGTAAGCGGGGTGGGGGGCGGTGTTTCCTGGGACAGCTTCTCTGGACGCAGGCACGAGGAGCCCCAGGCGAACTCCGCCGCGACGTCCCATCCCGCAGCGCGCCATCAATAACCTCTCCCTCCTCCCGGTTGCTGCAGTGGCCACATATATAATATTTAAACCACACTGGTGGGTGACAGAGACGTACGGATATTTTTAATCCCAACAGGCTATTACGGTTCATATCATGTCTGTCAAATAAATATTATGAATCATTTCCCGTTATCTTTATGGGGGCAAGTTGACTACATCAGGGAGATTGCGCACGGCAGCTCTGCCCTGCGTATTTATCCGCCTCTTATGTATATGTATGTGTATAGAGGGAGATTTATGGAGCAATTGTCGATAATAAATGCTCCCGGTAAAACACATTATCTTCTTGCTCGGGGGGCGGCGTCTGGAGAGGGCATGAGGAAGAGGAGCCAGGGAGGGGCGTGCCATCTCCGGAGCCAGGCCTGGGAGGGGGTCGGCACCCCAGGCTGCGCCTCTCGGCCTGAGCCCTTCTTCTCTGCTCCCGGGATCTGTCAACACTGATGTCCCTGTTGATGTTCTCATTTCACGTTAAAAATAAAAAAAGTCTCTATGATTAGCTGGCTCTTTTCTTCCATCTTAAAGAAGAGACTGAGGTTCAGAGAGGGCCATGGGTGTGTCGGCGGCTGAGCCAGGCACAGCCTCCCCACTCCTGGCGCCCACCCGAGCACCCAGGCTTCCAAGCCCACTGCCTGGCCCTTCTCTCTGCACCTGGCCTTAGCGTCGGCACACCTGTGAGAAGCAGGGAAGTGGGGCAGCTGGCTGGAGGCCCGAGTGAGTGGCTGTCCCTGAGCGGGGGTGGGTATCTGACCACCAGCCCTCGTTGTGAAGCTGTTGGCCTTGGCTGACCTGGAGCCAGTCACCGCTCCCCTGGGTTTCTGAATTGCCTCCGGTGGGACGGTGGAGCAGGAATCTGTCTTTGGGGCCGGGGCTGGTGGATGGGGTGGCTGGCACTGCGTGGCCCCAGGGAACAGCAGCATCCTCCTCTACTGACTCGGAACTCTCTGGACCCCTGCGAGCTGCCCCCCACTCCTCCTGCCCGCCCTGCCCCGGCATCTGTGACTCCTTCCAAGTGGCCCTGGGGTTTGGAGGGACTATCTCTATGGAGACCTCTGGAAGGATCCTGGGGCTTCCCAGGTGGTGCTAATGGTAAAGAACCTGCCCACCAATGCAGGAGACGTAGGAGACATGGGTTCGATCCCTGGGTCAGGAAGATCCCCTGGAGGAGGGCATGGCAACCTACTCCAGTCTTCTTGCCTGGAGAATCCCATGGACAGAGGAGCCTGGCGGGCTCTGGTCCCTGGGGTGGCAGAGTCGGACATGACGGAAGTGACCTGGCACGGAAGGATCCCGCCAGCCCTTGCGGGGAGCTGCCCCGAAACCCCAGTCTCTCTCCACGAAGTTAGCCCCATCCCCTGAGGCCTGTCTCACACGGACTGGTTTGGCCAAACTGCCTTTCAGCTCCCAGAGGTTTGGGATGAGGCTTCCACATGATGGGGGGGAGTGGCCTGCCTTCAGAGCATCTGATGGGGATGAAGCCTAACCTCTGTCGGCCACGCTAGTCTGGCTGTGCAGGGCTGGCCACTGCTGTGGACAGGAGTGGTCAAGGGCCTGCAGGGCGACAGAGGCTTCGCAGAAGGCGTCTCCTCCTCCACCGTGTCCCACCCCCGGTCCACTCACTTCTCCCCACTAAGCAGGACAGACTGAGTGCGGACCAGCCGCTTTCCCCAGCTCCCCCACATGATGGAGGGACAGGGCGGGACTCGAACAGCTCTGTCCACCTCATTGGGCGAGCTTGGGTGCCCCTCTGCCCCTCTGGGCTCCCTCCCCACCTGCCAGCTTGAGTCAGCTGTCACCAGCAACAGAGAGGGACGCCCCCAGAGGAGGTGAGAGCGTGCCCTCCAGGCTGGGGGATTTGAGAACAGGCTGGGGTGCCTGAGCCCCTGCCCTGTTTATGGGGGTCAGGACCCCACCCCGTCTGTGAGATCCTGCTGGTCATCAGCCTGGGATCACACAGACCATCCCTGGAGGGAAGGACCCGGAAGCAGCCAAGGTGAGCCCCGGTGCCCCAGGAGCTGTCAGGAGCCGTCCACCCAGACACCAGTCTCCGGGGCACCGCCTGGCAGACAGCGGCCTTTAAAAATATTATTCACCAAGCGATTCCGGAGACTGTTTACAAGCCTGAGCTGAGACAGGCGCAGGGGATAGGCCAAAGCAACTTAAAAAGCATCCTTCGGGGAAAAAAAAAAAAGAAAAAAAACCCCAAACAAAAAACAAAACCCTCTCAGATCCCAGGTTGTAAATAGATGGATATTACTATAAAAATATTTTTGGCAGCAGAAGTACAAGGCGGGAAGGCTGGGGGCGGTTTTTTCCATGGTTAGCTGGGACCTGGAGACTCCAAACGGGGCAGCCACCGTCCCGGGCGGGGCCCTGTGGGATCGTTCGCACCAAAGAGCCCTGCTCGAGGGGGGAGTGAGAAACAGAAATAACAAGGGCAAGCACATTTTCCACCAAGGAGGCTGGACGTCTGCCTCCCTCCGCAGCCCGCTCGCCTCCCCTTCCGAGCCAGCCAGCTCCTGCAGCACCCCTGCACCCCACCACCCCCGGCCCCCTGCCAAGGGCAAGGTGAGGCTGAGAGCAGCGTGGCACCTGTCAGCACCAGAGCCAGGCCCGCAGGGCTCCGGACACACGCGCCACTGCCCCCGCGGCCTCCCGGGGTCCTGGCTGAGGCTGGGGCTTGGTGACACCATCGGAGGTCCCTCCTGGGAACAGAGGCCCTGAGGAAGCCACGTGGAAGTCCGCCTGTGCCCATCTCCCTGGCTCCAGGCACCAACAGTTCCAAACGGAGTCTCTGAGTTTTCTGGGGCAAGGGGCTGGGGGAGGACTGGGAAGCCCAGGGTGTCCACTGTCACAGGCAGGCGACTTCAGACGCTCCAACTCAGGCTTCGAGGCCTCTAGGACCAGCTTGCCTGTGAGCGCCCGGCGTGTTCCGACCTGCCTGCCAAGGCTGTTGCAGGCTGTTCCTTCAACAGGCTGGCTACCTCCCCGCCCCGGACGAGAGCTTGTGCTGGTTCTTCTGCCTGGAGTGCCCTCAGCCCTGTCTCGATCCGATGAAAGCCTCCCTCCTTCAAACCCAGCCCAAGAAACAGCTGTGTCCAGAAGCCGCCGGCCCCTGGCCTGACACGTCCTGGCCCCTGGGTCACTGTCCTAACACTTCCGGGCTGTCCACCACTTCCCACCCCCTTGTGGGTGTCTCTTAGTTCCCCCTGGGGCTCCCAGAGTGCCCACTTCAGCTCATGGTAATATCTGTAACTGCAGTGGCAGGAACTCTCAGGACTGAGCTCCTCTTCCTGGGGCCAGGCTCTCTCTCAGTTCAGTTCAGTCGCTCAGTCGTGTCCGACTTTTTGGGACCGCAGCACGCCAGGCCTCCCTGTCCATCACCAACTCCCGGAGCTTGCTCAAACTCGTGTCCATCGAGTCGGTGATGCCATCCAGCCATCTCATCCTCTGTTCACGGGGCTCTTGAGGCAAGAATACTGAAGCGGTTTGCCATTCCCCTCTCCAGTGAACCACATTTTCAGAATTCTCCACCACGACCCGTCCATCTTGGATGGCCCTACACGGCACGGCTGAGTTTCGAGTTGGACAGGCCGTGGTCCGTGTGATCACATGGCTCTCCCTGCCTCACCTCATTCGGTCTTCTCCGTGACTCAGAGGCACAGGGTGGCCGTGCCCACTCTACAGATGAGGGCACTGAGGCCCAGGGAAGGAGGGACCTGGCCTGGCCACGTGGCTGGTAAGAGGAAGAGCTGGGAGCCAGCCTGTGCCTGTTCACCAGGGACCACACCTCTGCCTAAGCACACGGTCTGGCGCCTCGGCAAGGGCTCGAGAGATGTTTGTTGAATGAATGACCAACCCACAGAATGGACTCGGGGAGAGTTCACGTTTCTCTGGCACCCCACCCCCGCTCAGCAGAGCACGGCTGGCTGTCCACACAGGATGTGGGCCGCAGGTCGCTGGGGGCCCCCGCAGGTCACTGGGGGCCAGGGCCTGTGCACGTTCACCCTCGCTGGCCCAGAGGTTCCCAGGACAGGGCTTGGCTTCATCCTCGCCGCAGAGTGACGGTGCTCTGCGGTGTCATCTCTCCCAGCCTTGGCCGTCCTCCTCAGTCAGGTGGGCTAGCAGTGACCGCCCAGGAGTTGTTGGGGGTGACCAGCCAAGAAGAGGGTGCATGGTACTGGGTGGTCTCCTCTCCTGAGCGGCAAGGGCCTCTTCGTCTCCGGCGGCAGTGGCGAGGTCTGACGTAGATCAGGAGGACAGGCTGGGAGGACGAAGTTCAGACGGGCCACTGATGGTGCACACAGGGAAGGCCATGCCAGGGGCAACGGAGACAGGCCCGAGGACGGGGGCTGGCACGCGGCGCGCGCCCCAGACGTGTCAGCACCCGTGTTCGCTCCTGCTCATCCTGCATGCTTGCCCGCCCCCAGCCCAGGCAGGAGGAAATGAGCTTCAGAAGTGGGTGGCTGGCAGGGCGAAGCGGGGAGTGGGTTTGCTGGGATGACACTGATGAGGACCAGTGCTACACCGACCACGGCTGAAGTCAAGGGCAGATGGGCAGAGGGCTCAGGAGCAACAAAGACCAGACTTTCTTGAGTAAGACAGGAGGGCAGGCACGAGCGAGGGGGACGGGGCAAGCCTGGGCCGTGGCCTGTGGTTGTGCCAGAGGAGGGAGCACTCCCCAGCCAGCACTCACCCGCTCCCCGCACCCCCCCCCCAGCCCAGGATGCTCCCAGGGGCCCGAGGGCCTCTTTCTGCAGCCGGACAGGTCTCAGCGGCCTTGTGGGACCTAGCCCCTGGTTGTCCAGGGGGAGGCGGTTGTGTTGGGTGCCCATTGCACAGAGAGGAAAGTGAAGCCCAGAAGGGGGCTGGGGAGGCAGGCTGGAGGCCACGCAGGTGGCAGTGATGCCCGAGGCAGGAGGGCCCCCCTCTCGTCCAGGACTGTGTCTGTCGCTGAGCTGCCGGCTGAGCCCTCCCGTCAGCGCCCCTGGCCCAGGGGCCACATGTGCGGCCTGGGTGGCCTGGGGAAGCGCCTCTGGGGGCGGGGTCAGGAGGCCCAGGTCCGCGCAGGTAACTCACTCAGGAGCCCCAACTCCAGCTGCCCTGAGCTGTCAGGACAGGAGTCCGTCCTTTCGCTTTTAAACAAACACGTCATGAATTTAAAAGTCAGGGCAGAGAGCTGTCCAAGGCGTAAAAATAGCCACCTGGCCACAGAGTCAGCACCCAGCACCCGCGCCTGGTCCCAGCCTGGTGCTCCCAGAAGCCGGGGCGCCGCCCCCCAGCCCCTCTTCCCCGTGGGGGCGGGGCTGGGGGCGCCCGGAGTGTGGGAGTGGGGGCTGGATGGGGGTCCAGAAAATGAAACCCCCCACTAGACGCCGGAGCCGAGCCTGTGCCGCCCAGGGCCTCAGTTTCCCCAGGCGCCCGGCAGGCTCTGCGCGCCGCGCGGCCGGCCGCTTTGTGTGGCCGCCCAGACAATGGCCCGGCCGATGTCCGCCTGCTCCGCCCGGTGGTTTTTTTTTTTTTTGGGGGGGGGCAGTCTGGGGAGGGAATTCTGCTCCCGCCCCGCCCGCGCCCCCCGCCCCCGCGCCGCCACCCCCGAGCGACTCCCGGGAACCCCTGGCGGAGGAAAACTTGCAAGTTTGCACCGCGCTCGCTCGCCTGCAACTCGGCGGCGGAGCTGGCGGCGCGGGGGAGGGGGGCGCGCTCCGGACGGCGGAGGGGGGCGCGCAGGGGGCGGGGGGAGGCGGAGGGGGGTGCGCTCCGGGCGGGCGGGGCTGGGCGCGCGCGCAGGGGGCGGGGGGCGCGCGCCGGACGGCGGGGTGGGGGGCGCCGGGGGGCTGCGCTCCGGGCGGGCTGGGGGGGGGCGGGGGGCCGGCGGGGGGAGCGCTCCGGGCGGGCGGGGCTGGGCGCGCGCGCAGGCCGGGCGGGCGGGCGGCGGCGCTGCGCCGAGTCCGCGCCCGTCGCGGGCCCCCCGCCGCCCCCCCGCAGGCGCCGCCGCGGTCGGAGCGGGGCGCGGGCGCGCGCGGCGGGGGCGCGGGCGGGCGGGCGCGCGCGCGGCGGGGGCGCGCGGCACAAGTAGTTTACATTGTTGGGCGACTTTTGCAACAACTCGCCGCGCCGCGGCCTCCGCGCGCCGCCGCCGCCGCCGCCGCCGCCGGCTCCCGCCGCCCGGGCCCGGCCGGCTGCGCCGGGGGCCGCCGCGAGGTCGCCGCAGACATGGACACCAAACATTTCCTGCCGCTCGGTGAGTGATCGCGGGCGGCGGCGGGGCGCGTCCCCGGCGCGCGCGGGGGCCCCCGGCCCGCCCCGCTCGGCCCCGCGCCCCCCGGCCGGCCCGCGCGGAGTTGGGGAGCGGGGCCGGGAGCGGGTGGGCCGGGCAACTTTTCCCCGGGCCGGCCGGGCGCGGAGCGGGCGAGGGCGGCGGGCAGCTCCCGGGCCGCGGCGGGCCGCCGACTTGGAGCGGGCAGCGGGCGGGCAGCGGGGCCGGAGGGTCGGCCGGTCGGCTGGACCGGGGTGAGGGGGGCTACTCCTGGCCCCGCCCGGCGGCAGCTGGCGTCCCCCGCCCGGGCGCCCAGCTCCAGCGGGGCGGCGCAACTTGTGCGCTCCCAGCCTCCGGCCGCCCTGGCATCGGGACGGCCTCTGCGCCGCCGCCCGGGCTGCGGACTCCAGCAGGCCGCCGGCCCTGGAACGCTCGGGACCCCTCCTCCCCCAGAGCCGCCCGGGCGCCAGTGGGCAGGGTCGCCGAAGGGCCTTAAGACCGGGACCATCAAACCCGGGGAGGCCCCCTTCCAGAAGCGGGGACCCTCACTCCGGCGCACGCGAGTGCTCCCCTGGCGTTCCCTGGAGCTGGCCCTGCACTTGGGGTGGACAGCCTGGAGGCACGGAGGGCCGGCTCTCCCGTCCTCCCGCTGCCATCGCGCCCAAAGGCTCCCTTGCCCTGGACCGCTCTCCAGCTCCAGGTCTGGCCCCACAAAGGAGGAGGGGGCATGGCCAGGTGCCCCCAGCCCGCTGTCTTCCCGCGGGTTTGGGAACCAGTGAGAGGCAGGGGAGGGGGAGGGGGTGGGGAGACTTTATAAATGAGCCCGGGAAGGATATTAATTTGGCGGTGGGGCCGGCAGCCGGGCTGTCAGGCTGGGTGAAGGATTTGTGCTGAATGGAAATTAAAACAGCTGATTATGAATGAAACCCGCGGTCTGTTGCCGCTCCTGCCTGCCCACCCCCTAGCAGCCTGGGGTGCAGTTTGGCCACCCGGTTGGCGGCCAGAACGCGGCGCAGCTGCGGGGACGTTTGTTGAGATGGGGAGGTGGGGGGGAGCCGCGTGGAGCCGGCTCCGCTTCCCGGGGTGGCTGGGTGAGGGTCTGAGCACTCCTGGCCGGCGCGCAGAGGGGCTGTGACACAGTGACCGGGGTGGGCTTCCAAGTTCGCCAGGTCTAAGAAGACTCCTTCCGTGACCCTGCATGGTCCAGACCTCCACAGGCGCCAGGCTGGGCGCTCTCCTTCCTCCTCAGAGCCTCCAGGGCGGGCACACACGTCCATTTTGCAGATGAGAAAACTGGTTGAGACCACCGGCTACAAAGTGATGGTTTGGGGTTTGAAGCCCCAGCCCGTGGTGGTACCCTTGTGTATGGATTGAAAGCTGAGTTGATTGTGACTCGCTGCTACTGGGCCTGGCTGGGGTGGGGGGGGCCCTGTGTAGGCCAGCAACCTCTCCTGTCGCCTATTAAAGTCTTACGCACACGTGTACACACACATACACACACACAGAGGCGCCCCCTGGAATAAGAACGTTCAACTCTGTCTTTGCTCTTCTCTCGGCCCCCACCCCCCGATGAGGCAGGGCCCTGCCTGGGTACTTGGAGCCGGACGGGTCCCCGTCGCTGACATGCTGGTAGGGTCCTAGAAGTGGGCCCGTGGAGGGCCCCGGCTGCAGGCTGGCTGTGCTGGGGTCCCCACAGGGAGGAAAAGTGGTGTCCCAGGAACCTGGATGGGTGTCATGTTCCCCCCAGTCCTCCCGCCGTGGCAAGGAGGCTGTGGGGGTGCTTCTCTCTGACCCGGCCTGCGGCCTCCCAGGCAGCCCATGCCCCAGGCTTGAGCAGACAGCCCTGGACTCTGATTACACTTTATTTTTTTCTAAGCTTGTGACTGGCTCTGAAGTCCAGTGGAGTTGAAGGTCCATTTAAGCGGCTACTTGCCTAAGCCCTTTCGTCAACACGGCCTAATCCCTGGTGGGGGTGCGTGTCAGAAGGCCCGCCTGGCCAGGCGTGGCTGGCCGCCCAGCGCAGACCTGGAGCAGTCGGGCAGGCGGCACTGCCTCTTAACGGTTGTCCGTCCACAGAGGGCCTGGTCCTTCCAGCACCCGCTGCCTGGGGTGTGGCGGGCCTGGGTCCTTGCTCTTACCTGCCTGGGAGTCTCCCAGCTGCCGGGCCTCCCCGTGAGGGGAGGGCAGGGACGAGCCCAAGGTACGGATCTGGGGCCAAGAACTTGTCCATGGCCGCCCCTGCTGCCAACGGCTGACCAGCGCCTGTGCCTGTTGAGAGAAGGCCTGCGCTGGCACCAGGCTGGCCGATGGGGCTGGAAGGCTGAGTCTGCGGTCTCGAGGTCTCAGACCCCATACCCCTGGCTGCTTGTGGCCCATTTGCCTGGGGACGGGTGTAGGGGGCAGTAACAGGATGGTAGGTCCACTGGTCGCCCTCCGGGCAACTCTTGGGGACCTGGGAGAGCTTGGAGCCCGGGTGAGGGGCATCTGGTAACATCAGAGCCCTCGGGACCCAAAATAGAGCACATTCTCGGGCCTCCCGAAATAACAGGGTCATGTGACTCTGCGGAGGCCGGGCTTGGAGGCCGGCCTGCCGAGGCAGTCCCGTCTGGGCCTGGGCCCTGGGACTGTTGGGGCGTTTGTTTTGGTAAACTCCGGAGGGGGCTCTGTTTGTTGACGGGGGAAGTGTCAGGGTGAGAAAAACAGCCCTCGGATGGGCTTGGCCGTGGCCGTGGCTGTGGCCTGGCCGGCCTGGACTTGGATGCCTGTCCGCTGTGCCTGGGCCCTGTGCGTAGCCCTGACCCACTGTGTGGATGCGGTGGGATGCGCTGGGGACCCTCGGGAAGGGCCCTGGGGGGCGGGCCGGGCGGCTCTGAGCTGGGGCTTGGCAGAGCTGAACAGGCAGCCGTGCGCGCACCGGGGTGGCCGCTGGGGCCTGGCTCCAGCTCTACCAGCTTGTCCAGCTGTGCCTGTCCTTCGGGGCCTGCGGGGAGCTGCGCCTCCTCCAGGAGGCCCTCCTCCCGCCCTCCCTGGCCTCCCCCCTCACCCCCACCCCGGCCCCTGCCCCAGTGTGGCTCTCGGGGCTGGTTTCTGGTGGTGGTCCTTGTCTGTTGTCCTGGGAGAGGAGGCCCCGGGGGCTTGTTGTGGAATTACTGTGCGTGCAGAATGGGGTGGGTGTGCATGGCATCCGGCATCAGGACAGGGCCCTCCGTGAGTCGGGGTGGGGCAGACTTAGGGGGTAGCGTGTGTGGGGGGTGAAGACTCTAAAGGCCTGCCCAGAGCCTGCGGGAGCCACCTGCAGAGCTTTAGCTTCTCGACTCACCTGGGCTCTTTCCACAGTTGGCCTGTTTTTGCAGTGGGTGGTGGTTTCGAGCTCGGCGCGTCCGTAGGAGCAGAGGGCTCCTGGGCTTGACTCAGCCGCCGTCCACAGGATGGGGCAGAGGCCCCTGAGCTGGCCCAGGACAAGACCTGACCCTCCTTCCCTCTTCCACCTGCTGCTGGTTTTGTCAGAGTTCACGGTAGGTGGCCATGGTGGCCAGGTCTTGAGGTGTCGGGTCTACAGGTCTGTTCCCGTGGAAGCCGGTCACCGGCAGGGTCAGGTATGGGCAGGGGTCTGGACCCTCGAGGGCCCCGGTGGCTGGTGGGGCTGTTGCCCGTCGGTGGGTGCCCTTCGAGCCCTTTGCCCGGGTGTGTGCCGGGCAGGCCTGTGTCCTGCACGCTGTGGAAGGTTGGAGGACAGGGCCGGTCCCCTCCCCTCTCCCCTGCTCACGCCGGGACGGCGTCGTCTTCACTCTCCCGTCCTCTTCTCCTTCTCCGCAGGCCCCCCACCTGCACCCTCTCGAGTGAGCTGGTGTGCCCGGGGGACCCTGGAGCTGCCCCTTCCTGGGGGGCTGTGTCTTCTTGTGGGCTGGTGGTCAGGCCCCTGGCGATCGGGTCCTCCGTCCCTGCTGCCTGTGTGTGTGCCCTGCCTGCCGGCCTGTCGGAGCCTCAGTTGTTCATCTGTAAAATGGACGCGCGCCCCGGCCCTCGCTGGCTGCAGGGGAAGGCAGTCCATTGTGTCTCCCTGATGGCCTCCTTCAGAGGCGCGGCCTGTGGTGAGAGCCTCCCCGTGTCCCCTGTCTGGGTTGGCAGCGGGCAGCAGACGGCGGGGACCGGGTGTCCAGTGATAGAGCAAAACAGGACCATGAAGCAGAGGCGTAGCTGCTGCTGTCACGGCCGTGGGGCAGATGCAGGAAAGAGGGCGGCCTCCGCCCTGTCTTCCACGCGTGGAGCGCTGCCGCGGCCGCTGGTTTGAGCTCCCGCAGCCCGGCTGGGCCCTGCTTCCTGGCCCCTGGGAGGTGGTGCACGAGGGCCTGGCTTGCACGCCCGCCGAGAGCCTGGTGCGGGATGTTCAAGCAGTCGTGCCCCAGCGCCTCACAGACGGGGAAATTGCACCCTAGAGTTACAGAGCAATCGTCTACCTCAGCAGCGGAATGAGCGTGAAATGGAGCAGAAAGCAGCTAAATAAAATTGGCCCGGGCCGTCGCAGGGGAGAGTGGGGACGCACGCGCGCCCCGGCCCGCCCACCGCCGGCTGTCCCGCGTCCCTCCGTCTGTGTGTCCGTCCCAGAGAACTGCGTCCCTGGGTGAGCAGGGCAGGTGAGCCTGGCGCCCGCCCAGGGCCACCCTTCCGTGGCCCCCGTCTGTCCTGTCTCTGAGTCTCTCCTATGACACGTCCAGGGCCTGGTGCTGCCTGTCCGAGGACATGGTGGCGCCATCCCCGGGGTGCCCACTGTGCCCCGGGCCTGCATTTCTAGCCCCGTGACATCCTCGCAGGGATGGGCCCATGGAGCCGTGGGAGCCGTTGGGCTGGGCTCGCCTCTGCGCGGTTCTGCCTGCCTTTTCTCTGCTCCGGTCAGGCCCTGGGCCCTGGGTCCTGGGACGGGCCCCGACCCCCTGATCTGCAGGTGGCGTCTTCAGAAACACTTGCCCGGCAGGCTCTGCGTCTGT